TCTCTACCCTAACATGGTTGGTCAATTTGACTGACCTCTTTCCCCCCAAAAAAAAAAAAAAATTAAATAAAACTATATAACCTTTTTCTTTCTAGAGTGACTTCAAATTGTAACATGAAACTACATTAGTTTATCCTAAATAGCCTTAAACTCATAACAGGATTTTTTAAATATTGCCTTATAAAATTAAGAACTTAAAACTTGTATACTATTAACACATGGATTATTAGATAAGATTTTATGCTATACTAATTGGTATAACGTTAATATAAGTAGTTTAATTAGATTCTGAATGTAAGTCACTAAAAACCTTATGACATGTGCAGAGAGGGATAATCTGTTCCTGTAAAATTTCTCTGATGTCAGGTATAAGTTTTTAGTTATTGAGAGCACATTCCTAAAAATTCATGATCTCACAGAGTATCAATCACTAATGTGTATAACACTGCTCCAAGCAGTAAACACGCACTTGTTCATTGGGAGTGATGATCTGTGTTTTAGTCTGGTCCCACTTTCAAATAAGTAGACATTTCTTGTTAACTTTTGGTAACAGGTTGAGTCTTGTAGATTTTGACCTACTGAATTCAAAAATTCCTGTTGCCAAGCTGAATTTTGAGTTTTAGACCTTCACATTTCAAAATCAAAATAGACACCAATTTTTTGAAATTGTGTTGTCCAGTAAAAAGGAAACTATTTTACTATATTTTCATGAGTTTCTTTCTAAGGTCCAGTTAATTTTTATAGATACACACATGAAAATTTACTATACACATTTTTGTACACTTGTTTTCTTTTTTACACCTTTAGTAACTTGGCCAGAATGACATTACAGGACTATATCAAAGCATTTATTAAGACTTGGATATTTTTGTGCAATCAGTATACATGTTTGGGTCTCCATATACCTGTATTGGCATCATGTTTGACAGGAACAATCAGGAATCAATCAAATATGGTATTAGATCCAATAGAAGAGCTACCATTCAGAGTCATAAGATGTTCCCTTACCATAGGATTGACAGGGATTCTTGTCACACACAGAAAACAAAGCTGATCTCACCAGGGTTGAGAATTTCATGTGGATCTGTGGTTTCCTGCAGATTTTTGTGTCTTGTGGGTCATTTCTGTAGATCATGTAAATTCAAGGAGAAAATTTCAGTGGGGTGGTAGGCCTCTGTGAACCTTAGCGAGTGCTAAACTTTGTTCTTTTTCTATATTGATCTACTTTTTTACAGTCTTTTAATAAATTGAGATCTACCACACCTTTCTAAAAGCTGAAGATCACCAGTGAAAGCTGTATACGACTGATTGCATTTTGCAATTTTGAATGCAATCACAAATCTTTTAAATATCAGTTCTTTGTTGGCTTCCTCTAGTTTTGAAGCTGATTTAACTATAGGCCACTTTTCACCTTCTAGCTAATCATTTATATTTTGATTAGATAAGTGTGTATAATGAAACTGACACCACCTTCCCTAGCAGTGACGTACAGATACTGTTGATGTAGCAGAAGAGTATGTAAGTTTAGGATCGCATGAGGTTGTACTCCCATGACATACTCTATAAATATATATACCTTGCCAGAAGCTTCACTGAGGGAGAGAGAGAGAGAGTCACAAGACTGTTAGTGAATTGTTGTTTATCACTCAATTTTGTTCTTGATATTGAAATGTATTTTTGGAATATTGTATTTGCTGTATTTTTATTTTTTCTGGAATTAGGTTTTTTTCTTTCTGGTTCTTTTTCCTGATTCCATTATTTTAAATAATATTTATATTATTAATATTTATGATATATTGTTTATTAATATTGTTGTGCAGTCCTAGCTAGGCACTTGTTTATCAACTGTGTTTTGGTAAATGTTTAATTTATTTCTAAGTGCTGCTTTGTTGAATAAATTGTTCGTTTTTGAACTCTGATTGTAGCAGTGTGTTAATTTTAAACTGTTACATCATATACACACATTTACTTAAAATACAATGATTAGCTAAAAGGTGAGTTAGTGTTTTAATTAGGGATGCACAGGTACCTGACCAATTATTGGGCTACCTGGTAATACTCAGCTTGGGCCAATTGTTGAAGTTAAAAACAGCCAAATCTAGGTAATTGAAAATGGCATCTAACCCCTAATCTTTGTGGCAACTTAGGCAGTAATGAAAATTACAGTCAATAATTAGTTTAGATTTGAATGAGAGGAAATGTTATTACCAAAGTCATGTTTGTGTTGAAAGATGTTAGAAGATGCATGATTGTGCTCATTTATGTGATATTGAGTTTTCTCCTATGTAGCATGATTTTAATCATGTTGTTGGTTTCTAATGCTTTGCCTGCTTTGAACTTTTTAATCAGAACTTTTAAAATATTATACTGCATGTATCAGTTGTGTTTCAAAGAATCTTTTGTCACCCATTATCCAGCCCAACTGATGAGTTCTGTAATTGAGTGAAAGGCCTCTTGGGCAGTGAAGTGTGGAAGACAAAAGGTAGATCTGAAATACTATTATTACACACCTCTGATTTTGAATCACAAGTGAGGAAAGTAAGAAGAATGTGGATAAAGATATCTGCAGTTTACATGATTCTTATCATAAATTTTAGGCTTGTTGGTTTCTAATGATTCACCAGCTTTTGGCATTTAAACCATAACTTTTAAAGTTATACGTAAACCTTTACAAGCTGTCTTAGGATGACTTAGAACTGTATGTAAATTGTTTGTTGATAGATGTTACTTGGGGACTTGTGAAATATTGCACTATATAAGACTTTATTTGTCTTGAAAAGTAGAATATTTCCATAATTTTATCTCTTGATTTTTCTCTCTCTCTCTCTCTCACTCTCTTTCCTTACTTTCAGCCTCTGTTGTCTTGGAATGACTCATCTTCCCCAAAACAATAATTTTCAAAATTCCAAAGTGTTCATCATTATTCAATTTCAAAAACTTATCATTTTTAATTTACTCTGCTTGGGCACCTAAGGATTAAATGTTGCACTGGCTCTTTCTTGTTGAAGTATAGTTAGTTTTAGATGATCATTTGAGACAGCACACATTTTTACAGTCGATATGTATTTTGTACTCACATAACACCACTAAACACAACACAAACAATGTGCATAATTACTTGTTCATTTTGTAGTGTAAAAATATTAGATGTGGTTCATCTCTGCATTGTGTACTCTATTTTTTTCAGTTTTGTAAATTAGTTTTATATAACTTTTTATTCATTTTTAAAACAATATATTTCACAGCACTTTGTGACTTGTATCTTAAAACCAACAAACGAGTTTCTGCTATCTTTTTATAAAACTATTAAATCATTATTCACCATTTCATGTTGTTAAAATTATCCAATTAGTTTATGTTATCTTAAACCATTTTTTACTGTTCTGTATTATGTTTTTCTGTAAATTGGTTTTAACTTGTATTTTGAGGAAAATATTTCAATAATTTAACTACCTGACATTGTTAAAACTGTTGAATTCTTTTTCAGTATCATTAGAGGTATGGCAGCAGAGAGAATGTCGAATGCTTTATTCCATTTGGAACTGTGTTTTAGCTCAACGGGTGAGTCTTCATTTAACTTATTTCTGTTGATAAACAGCCTGTGTATAGTTTTACTAACTGTTTGAGATACTGTAAGCATTGTGTTCATTAAGAATATAGGTTTTAATAAGATGATAAGAAACTACTTAGCTGTAAAAGTCATTTAACCAAACCTGCACAGTGTTGGTCTATAACCCCTTACTGACGAAATAATATTGATTATAACTCTGGATTTACTGCATGTATCTGCACAAAATGGAGCAAGCTTTTAGCAAAATGTACAAGTTTGTTGTACACACACAAAAAAAATTAGATGTGTTATGAAAATATTTGTGCTCAAGATATGTTTATGAGTTGATGACATCAGTTTTTCTCAAACTCTGACAAGTTAGAGCATAAGGTGAAGAATAAACATACTCTTGTCCATTATACAGTTTCTATATAGCATTATCATATATAGGGTAAAACGAATAGTTTCAATTCTGACCTTAAATACATAATAACGTGTTAAATGGCATTCCGTAAAACTTTGTGGAAGGCACATTTTGACCCCCCACCCATGCACATAGGGTTAATTTTGTTTTCAATGAAAGACAATTTTTATATTAATTATATTGTAGTTTTTTAATATTCAAAGCTTATTGGTTGTGCCATTTTTTCATGGGTTTTAACAGAACAGTATACTTATATTTCTATATCATGATAGTACATAATACATATAGTTAAAAAGTTTAGTATTTCACATTAATCCTCTCATTTAATTTAATTAAACTACTTTATTATCAATGTGTACAAATGAACTTGGCATCTAATTTATTTACCATCCCTCTCTGAAGTACGTAGTTTGACACAATTTACTCGTTATATTACAGATATTATCAAGACAAAGTCTAATTTTTATAGCCTTCAATTACAGAGTCGTAAACAAGAAAATCAGACCCACCTGTCACATCCTCTTTCACAAATTACCAATAATTCTCTCTGATATTTCATACTATATCATTTATAACCTATAGAAAGGCAGATTTTTAATCTATCAAATGACATATATTGTTACATTGTTTTCAGTACAGAGTATTGTCTATTTCATCTTCAATTTGAAAGTTTTTTTAATGTTGTTTAGATTGAACAGCAGAGAGAATGTCAGTTAAATTATAATAGCTATAGGACACTGTCCACTTTCTGCATGGTGTTATTATGTGTTCTTAAGTGCATTATTTAAGTAAATAAAAATTATTTAGTGTACTACTAAAAAAGTAGGCTTAAATTTCATCTGCAACTGACAGCAGAAAAACAAGAGCTGACCTCAGATGTAAGTATTACATTTCTTGTTTCTCATGTATGTTCTTTATTTATTGTTATAGAAATAACTAAAATGTAAAAATTAGAAACTTAATAGGTTAAAATCATTAGGTAAGGTAATTAATAGTAATAATAAATCTTCACAAGGTATGTTCTCAAGCAGCTCATGTGTTACATCATTCAATACGGTAACATGAGCTATGTGTTTGTCAGTTGGCTATCAACTTGTCTGGCAGGACAGTTAGACATTTACAAAGAGCAGTAAAACAATAACATTAAGTATAAATAGATGTACTCTGTTACAACTTCCAGTAATTCTAGAAAGAAAAACAAGGACACTGTTTTAGAGATTACACAAATGAAATTTGAAAATTTTGAGATGAAGAAAAATATATAATTGTGTATGAATTTTCATACAGATCAGTCCCACATGTTTCAGCTGCTACATTGGTTAGCATTTCATCATATAAATGGTTAATCACACTCATCTCAGCATAATTCCTTACAAGCACCTGTTACTGTTATTTTAAAGTGTCGTGTGTTCATCACTATTACAGAAGGTTAATACATACATTACAAGCAAAATGCACTGACTCATTGGATGCAACCAGATGCATGATTTTGGCCATGTCTATACATCCCAGCTGCAAGCACATTCAAACAACTTTATATCCGAAACACTTTATATCCATGTCAGTTTTAGTAGTTGTGGATTCATCCTATAAGTTTTGCATCCTGGGTCATGGACACTGATCAAAGATATAGCTGCTAATGTGGTCTTCTCATCAATAGCCCTTTGAACATACACAATGGGGAAGCTTAAGAGGTTGGAAAAACAAATATCATTGTCATCAATGACCTTTGGTATAGATTGTACTCTGCTGTGATGTTGATGGTTGAGCCTCTTCTCAGATTGACTCTTACTCTGGCTCAGAGTAACACCAAACTGGAGTCTTATGAGTCAGATGTCTGCTCATTTTGCCAAAGAAGAACCAGTATTTCTCAGCTTTGTCTGTACAGAAGCTGTTAACATCACAACCATTTCTGGACAGAAATGTCATCTAACTTCTGAGCTTTCAGAGGTGTATGATAGCATGTTTACACTGTTCATATTAAAAAAATCCTCTCTCATAGATGGGTGTTCAAGAGCTAAGTGTAAGAAAAAAATATGTTAGAACCAGGACATTAGACGAGTGATTAGGGTTCTCATGGAACAAATCTTTATGAGTATTTAAGCTTCTATCCTCTATGAGCATCCAACCAGATTTTTAGATCAGTTCTTTTCAGTGTGATTAGGTCAAACTCTTTCTTTGTCAGAATATTTTCAAAGAGCTTTACTTGTTCATCTATCTTGTCATAGCCATAGTTAGCCAGCTTCTTTAAGTAAAGTAGGAACAAAGATGTCTCAAACATACTGAAATAAGACTCGTCAGGGCAGTCCATCATCATTGATCATCTGGACACTTTGCATATCACCTTACCTTGATCATCCAAAACACAAATTACTGTAACTTTAATGAGATTCAAAATTATAATTGGAAAAAACTTTTAAAATTAATTTAGTAATGAGAAATTCCACTAAAATGAAATGACCATTAGATATTAATGATCCTTTAGTTCAATAATTAAGATCATGAATTTTACTAGACTATTTAAAATATAAGACCTACTAGAGTGAAAAAACAAAGTTTTCAGTATATAAGTGGTGGTAGAAGTGAAAATAGGTTACTGGGGGAATTCATTTCATGGAGGAGGTCAGATTTATTTGTCTATGCTAGGAGTCGAGAAGACTTAAAGAGTTTAACAAGGTATTCTATAGTACCACATTCTCCAGTTTCAATATTTTAAACCATAAACAAGTGTATGTATGTTTTCAAACTGAGGACCTCTGTTGTCCTTATGTGGTGACAAATATTATTTCAAAACCTTTTACTTATAGTAATGTAGCACTAGGAATAAAGATACCACTGCATCTTCAAGAGTCAAATTAGTCTCAGATTTATTCTGTTTAACTTGGCCATATTTATTTAGTTCTTGTTGTTGGCAATATAACAATAATATATTAGTGGTCTTTGTTATATAGCATTAAGTATTTTCCTTTGAAGAAAATGTATAGAAATTTACTGCCCAAATGTATTTAAATATTTTGCATCCTTAAAACAATCCTTAATAAAACATTAACTAATGTATTTCCCCTCACCTATTCCACAGTAATATAGGCAGTAAGGATGTGGCTAAAGTGTACTGCTCAATTTCAAAGAATTTAAAAGAGATTACTCCAAGTTTTAATGAAGTAAATTACATCAAATTTTATTCGTTATTGTAAGCTTTTGTTTCTCTTACCAGAACATTGTTAACTAGATTTGCTTGAAGAAGGTCTGATAAAATAGCCACAGCAAGCAACAAAACTAAAAATGCATGTAATTTATTAAAATATATATATATATACATCATGAGTCTTAAACAACAAATCCATGTCTGATAGTTTTAGTGATCTAAAATTTTAAAAATGTACAGAAATTCACTGTTCAGATGTAACTAACTATCTTGCATTTCTGCATAGGTCATCAATAAAATACTAAAACTGTATATATTTCCTCTCACCTGTCCATAGTAACTATTTAGCTATGGTGTACTGCTCAGATTTAATAAATGAGATCAACTTTCACTGTGTTATAGTTTTAATGATCTACAAATTATTTACATAATATCAAAAACAAGTATTTCTTGTATTAAGCCTTTATTAAATCGATCTGAGTACAAGGTGATTTCATGTTAATAATAAAAATACTTTTCATCATCATACACTTTTTGTTTTTCATTTGCATAACCTCTAGAGCATTCTAAGTGTTTTTAGTATATCTTTATATTTTGTTTTCTAAACCATAACACTAATTATAGTGAAATAATCAATGTACAGTAATATGAAAAGTCAATAAGTATGAAATGAAATTAATGTATTTTCTTCTTCTTTGAATTCATAATTAACTTGAGAGTTTCAAACATTCAGCTTTTAACCTTTTCACATGTTTTATTTTAATTTCATTGTTTTATTAATGGACTTAGATCTATTCTTGTCATCCACCCAATTTTCCAGTATCTAGATGCTAGGTCTAATATAACTGTCAGGCCTACTATGACAGGTCCAGAAATTTATCTCTGTACACACTAGAATAAAGGCATAAATGTGAGTTAATGCATTCACCCATATAAAACTATTATGGAACCTGGTTGTGCCTCTTTCTGACAGTCACTACTGGAGACAACTAAGCACTCTGAACATGGTATGATCCCATCCTTTAACATTCCTTGTACTTCAGAAAAGTCTGCATGGCAGATATTTAATTAGATGACATCATCTGTATCTCTTTAATGTTGTGTGACTGTTGTTTGACCCAATGCATTCTAATCCTACAGATACAACAGCATACTCAGCCAACAGCTAACTGAGTTGCTGTCACTGCATTGAGTCTGCACAGTCCTCATCTAGCAATCTCAGATGTGTTGGCAATCATATGATACAGTACAATACCAGGACTTCACATTTTCTTAGCCAGATAACCTCTCAAGCTAATGCTGCTTGAAAATTTCATGTGAGGGTTCTGTAACTATTTTATGTAGCCCTGACACATCAGACTTCATCCATGCTAAACTTAATAGCACCCTTTGTGTACATGAATATACTGTAAATTCATCTACCACATGTAGTCCAATGTACTGAAAGAGTGATTGGCATTATTTTATAACAGGGATTTTTGCCTTGTTAAACTAAAGTACTATAAATTCCAATTCCTTTTTAATGGTTTTATACATTATACATGATCAAGAAGCTATACTAAGATTAAATTAGCTATTATTAGTTAGTTGTGGATGTAAGCTTGTATTTGGAGAAATCCAGTCTATCAAGACTGTACTTGGTTCTTTGTTTACCTTAAATAAATACTCCTTTTCTGTCTAATTGTTATCTTATAAAGTTGTATGTATGTAAATTTCCCTATTATAGGACTACACCATGGTGGTTACTTTGGGAAGGAACTTACTAGAGAAAGATAAATCACGAGAACGTGAACTTTGCTTAGCGATGGGAAGAATACATCTGCAGGTAAGAGAAGGTACATCTGAAAGAAGTAGTTACCAAAGTATGAAATTGATAGAAATGTATGTTAAAAACAGTGATGAAAAGGAAGGTCTCAAAATCATTAAATGACCAGTGACAATATTAGGCATTTCCTTGATTAATGATTTCTTACTGTACACATAAGATTAATTTTTTTCCTTATGATGGTTTAATTAAAGATGAAAGCTGGATAAATTTATAGGTAGCTTAGAATGTTTTTAACATTCCTGTAAATCATATAACTGCAAGTGAGATCATACATTATACATAGAGTTGTTGAACCACAGATTTCGTCTTCTTTAGCTTATAAGATAAAACTTTTAAATGGAAATTTTGTATGTACTTCTAGAATAATGTTGTAGAGTGCTATCATCTTTATAGAAATTTAAAAACAGGTACAAAACAGTTAATATTATGCATATGCCTAGAGTATTTATTGAACCACAGATTTTGGGTAGTGGTTTAACTACAACTAATATACAAATATATATTTTTATGTGAACTTATAGAAAATTGGTTATACAACCATATCTCCTTCTAGTATCTACATTCAGGGATCACAAAATGTTGATTACTTACCCTTCAGGCAGGCCATTGTAGACATTTGGTCTACAAGATATCTTCATCAACTGCAGGATGAGTTGATGACAGTTTAAATCATTGTACCCTGCTGTGATGTTGATGGTTGAACCTCTCTTTAGATTGACTCTTACTCTGTCTGTCAGCCCTGGTATTGCAATGCTGAACTGAAATCTTATTGGTCAGATGCCTGCACAGTTTGCCCAAGCAAAACCAATATTTCACAGCTTTGTTTGAACAGAAGCTGTTAACATCACAACCATCTGCGAACAGAAATGTCATCTAATGTCTGAGCTTTCAGAGATGTATGATAGCATGTTTACACTATGTTCATACAGGAAGATCCTCTATCACAGATGGCTGTTCAAGAGCTAATTGTAAGGAGCAAATTCATTAGAACCAGGATATTAGACAAGTGATTAGGATTCTCATGCAAAAAATCTTTAAAAGTGCTGAAGCTTCTGTCCTCTATGAACATCCAACCAGATTTTTAGATCAGTTCTTTCCAGTGTGATTAAGTCATACTCTTTCTCTGTCAGAATATTTTCAAAGAGCTTTACTTGTTCACCTATCTTGTCATAGCCATTGGTAGCTAGCTTCTTTAAGTAAAGTAGAAACAAAGATATGTTAAATGTACTGAAGTGAGACGGGGGAAGCTCTGGAACCTGACTTTTGAGATTGTTTGTTGATAAAATTTACCTGGCTGATGGGCAGGTTTATAATGAATAGAAAGAACAAATTTTCCTCTCTACATACACCTGATGAGTTATCATATTTTGTTGCTCCTCTTTATAGCATACATAGAAAGCCAGATAAATTACAGCAGTTTTGTGACAATCTATTCTAGTAGCTAATATATTTTTGTGTTCTATGATGCATATTTGCCATGTAACCTATATTATTTTGTCTAATTTTACCTGCCTCCAGTTCCCATATCCTATTCAATGTAGGTATTCTGGCTTTCAGTATTTCAGTCTACCTGATTTTAATTTAACATTTTTAGATTAAAATTAATTTCAAACAAGGTACTTATATCTGTAATTCATTATCATCCACCTCCCCAAAACTGAATAAGTGGGTTTTTTCACCGCGATTGCAACTTAGAAATCTGAATTATGACTGCAAATCAGAACTTATATAAGATCTCCTGATACATGTGCAGATATATCACATAGATGGTGGGAGAGTAGAGAATTATGGGTAATTTTATGCATTATGTCAAGAACATTCACAACTTTAGGTCACATAGTTGATTAGATTAGCTCAATATGTAAAGCTTTTAGTATTTCAGAGATAATTACCTTTTTGACATTCAATTTGTTACCAAAAAATTTAAAATTTTCCTTGAAAAATGACCTTATACTTATAGACAGTGTATTGCTAAACATTCATATTTACCAGTTTTTTTCTTGTGCTTTTTTTATTTGTTCCATTACTGACTTGTAAAGTGAAACAACTGTTTAGTTCCACCTGTCTTTCACATAGAGGTGCTTGTTATATTCGGTCTATTCAAAAATTCATTATAAACATGTATGTCATAATTGCAATTTCTTGTTGTTCCATTTCCAAAGTGAACCTTATAATTCATCCCATGTTCCATGGGATTCTGACTTGTCAGCAGCAGCTTAGAAAAAATACCCTCAATTTCAACATAGTGTGTAAAGCACAGATGGCATCTGATCTGGCAAACAATCTGGTCTTATTAGATTTTAGAAACTGATTGTAGTAGAAGCCCTTTGCATTTCATACATATCAGAATTTCAACAATGTGTTGAAGCCAAAATATATTTAAATAGTGCTTGAGAATATATTTCACTGCACAAGATAATGTCTTTGATTTGTACTTGTAGGCCAGTGTTTAAAGATGTGTTGCTTACATTGTCATAACATTAGCTGCAACAATCAGCAACAGAAATGACTAATTCTGGTAAAGTTTTCATTATTGTTTTAGAAAAGTTGGTATAAATTTCAAATATTTTGTAATTGGTTTCAATTCAACATGTTACACTATAGATGTTAGCTGAGACATTTGGTGTGAAATCCATTATGATGTGCTGCATTTAACACCGTAGCAATTACTGAGAAAACCTTTTGTCTCATCAATTAGATGATTTTACCACAAATTGTTGATGACAAATATGATGTCCATTATCTATATTTTAAAATCTGTTTATATGCTCAGCAGTGAATGTATCAAACTTTGCAAATAGTTATATGATACCCCACAAGTTTCATCTGATGACAAAATTCAAGCCATCTTTATACAAGACTGTAAACAATTGTGACAACTATCTGCAAAACATATCATAATTGTAATTTGTGTTCAAACTAACTGCAATCTGTGCATCAACACATTATGCATTTTAAGCAAGTTGTTGATGAATTTTGTCATTGATAGTAATCCATTCAACTGGATCTGAGATAGAGGGTATTTAACTACTATAATCACTAGAAACTATACCACTAATGCATATTGTTGTGTAATTTTCTATAAAACATCACAACAAGGTGCCTACTCAGCTTGCAGAAGTCTTTTTTCACGACCATTTACATACTTTTTTCCATTATGTCAATGATGGCAAGACATAATGATACATACGTACTTTTATTGGTGTGGATTCAATGAGATGGACATAAATCATTATAATAATTTATTTGATAGGCTCTTTAAGACAATATTGTGGAGCAAAAAGTAATATTCATAGCTCCTAAATAAAATCACTTCCGTATATATCAAATGATAACTTTATCAGTTGTTTTTGTTTCTAATTAAACCTCTCAATATGGCATTGATTGATTTGCAAGGAGTAAACTGTTTGGTTATTAAACACATCAAGAAATGTTATATTGTGGATGGTCAAGAATGTTTCATAGTTTTTAAATCTTCATCATCAAAGTTATTTAATTTCTGCTGTTTGAGTTCATTTTATTCTTTTGGAAACATATATTTTTGATACTTTCATTGTGATACTTGGTACTTATCTGTTGCTTCCAGTTGTATCTGTGAATACCACACTTTCATGGAAGATAAATAACAATTATTTTTTAATGAAAGTTGTTAAACAGGATCTATCTTGCATTAATGGAAGATAATTTGGTGTGGTTTTTCGATAAGAGGCTTAAGATGATTCCAAAGTAAAAATTAACACTAAAAATTATGATAGTTCATATTTAAGTCTTTGTGAAAATGTAAACAAATTTGGTTAGAATTTTTCATCCTTGTTTTTTTTTAACCCTACATAAGAAGTAATGTTTAAGTGAAATGAAAACAAAGAGTAGTTTTGAATTATTTTTTTATTTTTAAAGTTTGACTTTAGGCACTAGATAATCTATTTGCCCTAAAAGTTACCCTGATAAAATTTTATTCAATTCCATTGTTACTTGATGGATTAAATTAAGCCCTAGAACAGATACAAACTTTGATTGTAGATTAGGAATATTAAGGAAGCTGTGGTGTAGATACAAGGGATGTGGATTAACTTCTTGTTCTCATGTGAGAAGTATTGAGGAAGTTAGATTTTTTATTAACTTTTAAAATTCTTTCTAGAAGTATAGTGTTAAGCAAATCCTAGTATAGGTACAGTTATGTATGAGATTAGATGTTTAACATTGTTTTTACTGTGATATATCCAGGAAAAACTGACATTACTTTTAGAGCAGTGGGATATTAAACTGACTCTGAGAAACAAAAAAAGACTGGATACAAAGTAATATACAAAATAAACAATCTATTGATTCATATACAAAATGTGTACTTTCTTTACTCACACAGGGTGGTTACTTTTATTGGATTCTTTCTTTAAACTGCTTGCTCTAGAAAATTATGTTCAAGAGTGACTAGCACTACTGACATGCTGGTCATGCTTATTCAAACATAGATGAGGCCATAACCTTGAGATATTGTCTAAACTACCATTGAAGGACTCTGCTTTGACATCCTTTTATAATGTACAGCAAACCACCTATGGATAGAAAAAGAAACAAAGGCAGCTACTATGAGATGAATATAACAGATTTCTGAACAGGTTGTGTGAAACTTGTACATGTACAGAACAAAGAATAAATACTATAATATTACTAGGAGATATAAATGCATGGTGTATTGGTATATCACAACCACACACGCATTAGAAATGTTAAGGAAGCCCAGAATGCATACAAAGTTAGATTTTTGAATTACCTTTTTGATATTGTTTTTAAATGGGGAATAAGTAAGTCTTGGAACAGACATAAAACTAATCCTTTAAAATTAATTGGTTAATATTGTTTCTAGATGGGAGATATTAAGGGAGCTCAGGAGTATTTTAATAAAGCCACATCACTGAAAGTTGAAGCTGGTTCCAAAATTGAAGCTGAAGTAGAAGAGTTAACAAACAGGTGGGAATTTATGTATCGTGTTCTCTCACTAATGTAATTAGTTTAAAATAGAAAGACTGTACTGAAAACAATATCCATCATTAGAAATCATTGTTGTTGTATTAAATTAGGAAATTAAATTAAACAGTAATAGAATTATATGGCAGTCTATTAATGTGGTGGATTAAAAACTATAAATTAATGTTCATGTGTACACTAAAGCATGTTTTATTAATCATGTATTTCATATATCAAATACACTTTTACCATTGTAAGATTAATATAAGAAAGCATAATATACTGGTCATAATAAGATTAATACAAGAAAGCATAATATACTGGTCATAATAAGATTAATACAAGAAAGCATAATATACTGGTCATAATAAGATTAATACAAGAAAGCATAATATACTGGTAAGAACCTCAAATGATAGTGTTTAAAAGTTTCCCACCATTGTTGCTGGATTTTTTTTCAAGCTTCCCAGCCAACTTAACATAACACATATTTAAGTGTCACTAAGAATTAGATAATTTGATAGAAGTATAGTTGACATATTTTGGGAGCTGGCTCCATTTGATTTATATTATGTATCTTTCCAGGGCTCTACTTGCTGTAGCCACAAATAACTACTCTGATGCATGCAACCACTACAAACAGGCATTAGATATGCAGCCTAACAACCCAGTTGTAAGTGATCCTTCTTCTGGCTTCAATACTATTATTTACATTAATTGTTAATAGACAAAAACAATAATGAACTTAATATAAAATAAGCATTAAGAAGTTTTATGCAAAATCCCAGTCGTAATGGATATTGTCTGTGGTTTACAATGGATTTTGCATAAAACTTCTTAATGCTTAT